GAGAGAGAGAGAGAGAGAGAGAGAGAGAGAGAGAGCGGTGGCGTCTGGCGGTGGCGGCTGCGGCCGCGGGCGGGCTCAGCTGGGCACTAACGGACAGCTGTGGCCGCCTCACGAGTGGCGGCTATTAACCACTGGCCACCTAATGCCGTAGCGGGCCGGCGGCCTTATAGGTGTACCGCGGCCAACTCTGGCTGCCAGGTGGAGATGGGCCGGATCTGGCCGTCAGGAGCGCCGGAGACTGCGGTCTGCGAGGGCGGCTGGGAGCAGACTCGTCTCGTGGTTAAGCCGACATGTCCCGCACACTGGGCAGGGTGCCGTCTGACCGACCAGACTACGCCCAAATCTCGGGGAATTGGGATCGGCTGCACATAATCTGACCACCACATGGATGCCAACATTTTGGATGTCGACGCCGCAGCGCCTGGTCATAACACCGCTCTGCGGTCTGTGTGCAGACGATACGGCCGTGCTCGACGGCACCGGTCGCCACACCCCACACCGCTGAACAAGACCCTCGGCGGCAGGACCTTTACAGCTGAGCAAGACCCTCGACGGCACACCCCACACCGCTGAACAAGACCCTCGACGGCACACCCTACACCGCTGAACAAGACCCTCGACGGCAGACCCTCGGCGGCAAACCCCACACCGCTGAACAAGACCCTCGACGGCACACCCTACACCGCTGAACAAGACCCTCGACGGCAGGACCTTTACAGCTGAGCAAGACCCTCGACGGCACATCCTACACCGCTGAACAAGACCCTCGACGGCAGGACCTTTACAGCTGAGCAAGACCCTCGACGGCACACCCTACACCGCTGAACAAGACCCTCGACGGCAGGACCTTTACAGCTGAGCAAGACCCTCGACGGCACACCCTACACCGCTGAACAAGACCCTCGACGGCACACCCTACACCGCTGAACAAGACCCTCGACGGCAGGACCTTTGCAGCCGGCTGCGAGCGCCAACGTGATTGCGTTCGCCTTCCGTCACGTCACGTCCCGTCCCGTCCCGTCCCGTCCGTGGACGTAAGCGGCCGCACATCTGGCACGTGACTCCGGCCGACCGGTAACGGTCGACGTCATCCCCACCAAAACAAGTCCGCGAGCCGTCAGAGGCCGCGGCCCGGCCCGAGCTCGCTCGCAGCGATCGCCGGTGCTGACAGGCGGCGGTCCGGGCTCGACCGGAGCTGACTGGCGGCGGTCCGCCTCAGTGGCCCGGGCTCGACCGGAGCTGACTGGCGGCGGTCCGGGCTCGACCGGAGCTGGCTGGCAGCGGTCCGGGCTCGACCGGAGCTGACTGGCAGCGGGTTCAGCCGGCAGCTCCGGGAGAAGAGCGCGGCGCCCGCGGCGGGGCTCCACAGCCGCCAATCATTGTCCCGATCTCCCTCGGCATCGCATGGGTTCTCCACTGTCAGGCTCGGGCGGCATATGGATGACTCGCCGTCGGGCGCGGCATTATAATTCCATCAGCGTGAGATCGACAGACCGAGCGTCTCCAGACCGGTGAAGAACGCCCCGATCAGGCCCGGGCGCTCCGACTGGATCGAACTGGATCGCGACATCACGATCGCGAGTCACGAGACCCCCCGACCGCGACGACTCCAGTTTAACTCGAAATATCGTAATAGCATCTGGTGGGCATTATCCTGCAACTCCGCGGAAACGGTAACAGAGCGATAGTGGCTGCACTGAGTGCTGATTAAGCGGGATCACATGCAAACCTGCTCCCGCCATCAAACACCGACACCGGCATATTCAGCTCTGCCATCACAGCACTCTTATCCAGCCTTGCTCTCCTTGGAACCTCCCCATCGTCTGACCATAACTAACCCAGCGGGCATCAATTATCGCCAGATAATCGCCAGATGGCCCGGTTACCCGTTGCCAGCAGACAAGACCTGTTCCCTGGTTACCCGTGACCGCCAGACCGGAGGCGTTCCCTGGTTACCCGTGACCGCCAGACCGGAGGCGTTCCCTGGTTACCCGTGACCGCCAGACCAGAGGCGTTCCCTGGTTACCCGTGACCGCCAGACCAGACGCGTTCCCTGGTTACCCGTGACCGCCAGACCAGACGCGTTCCCCGGTTACCCGTGACCGCCAGACCAGAGGCGTTCCCTGGTTACCCGTGACCGCCAGACCAGACGCGTTCCCTGGTTACCCGTGACCGCCAGACCGGAGACGTTCCCTGGTTACCCGTGACCGCCAGACCAGACGCGTTCCCTGGCTCCCAGCCGTCATCATCAGACCGGACGTTCAGGGCACGGTAACACCAAACATGGCGCTCAGGTACACAACACCGGCCAGGACATCCAGGTAGGTGCAGTGTCCGAGAGGAACGCCCCTGTACCCGACACCGTACCGAGGCGTCCTCCGCGGCGTCTCTCCAGCAGCCGACAGCCGCGGTCGACGCCGGAGCGAGTTCAGCCCCGGCGCCGGGGCCCGTTAGCCGGTAGCCGAGCCGGCCAATTAGCCGGTGGTGTGCACGAGGTCGGCGCCTGCACCGACTCGATGGCGCCAGCTCGCGCCTTTCACGAGTCGGCGCTGGCGGCCGGCGCCGGCAGCACTCATCCATCAGCTACCGCTCGGCGCCGGTGCGTCCGGAGGCCGATGGCAGCACGATAGAGACGGCGGCGCCGGCGCCGGCCGCTGTCTGGCGGCGCGCGCGCGCGCGCACCGCCGACCTACCTCAACTATGCCGACGGCCATGGTGACGGTAGTGGCCACCAGCACCGGATCGTAGAGCACCTGCTCCGTACTGTTGTCGGCGGACGGCTGCGGCTCCGAATACTCCATCACCACCTTGCCCGTCATTATGCAGGTAACGGCGAAGGTGCCTGTGGACGACACCGAGTCAGCGGCGGCGGCGGCGGCGGCGGCGCCTCTCCGGCGCCAGATCATCAGACAGCGAGCGGGAAGCACGCGTATACCCGACACCCGGGCGGCCTTTCTCTATCATCCAACACATCAGTGCCGGCGCACAATTACCAAACAGGACCTTCAGCGCACGAAGCGGGCCAGGCTGGCGCCAGAGCGGAGTGATGTAACCGGCCCGGCTGGCGGCGGCCGCAGGCAGGTCACCCTCTGCCGGGGCGCCGGTCATCGGCGGCGCGCGCCCGCAGCCCCATCCAGGCGCGCCCCACGCTCGGCCGATGGCTCCGCTTCTGAAGGCCAGCGCGGCTGTGGTGTGGATCGGGATCTCTGGCTGATTGTGCTGGCTGGTGGCTGGATTGTGCCCGAAATGGTCGCGCTTTGGATCCCGTGGGCGTATTATGGCGTCCCCGGACGTGGCGTTGGGCAGTGGACAACATGCGACAACGCTGGACATCATGCGACAACGCTCGCGGCGACGCGACGCGACTTCTGACGGCGCTGCGACTCACCGACTGACACGTGACGCGACGTTCCGAAAATCACGTACAGCAGGCACTGGAAGAAGGCCATGTAAATTCCGTGGATGGGTGGAATACGGGCTAGCAGCGCGTACGCCATTCCTGCAAGAGAGATGGAGGGTGGGGTCAGAGCGGTGGTCTCCGGGCCGGCCGGGCAGCCGCCGCCGGCCGGTCGGAGAAAGCCGCGCTGCCGGCCAGGTGCCGGGCCGGTGCCGGCCCCAGTCGGCCTCGCGCCGGTGCCGGCGCCTCTTCAGGGCTGCAGCCCCGTCACGTGACCGGCCGGCGACGCTCAGCATGCGGTCACGTGCCGGCGTCCATCAGCGGCGGTGGCCGCCGGACCGACGCCGGCGCCGTCGGTGGTTTTTGCGCCGCGCGGCCGGTCTGGTCGGTGGCGCCGGGGTGGCGCGAGGACGGAAGTGCGAGAAGCGGCGGCTCGGTCAACACGAGGCCGGCGGCGGCGGCGGCGCCGGCGCCGCGCGCGACATTCTTCTCGGCGCCAGGCGCCGGCGCCGGCGCCAGGCTGGCGCCCAGATTGGGTCGACCTGTGCCGCCGGCCGCCGCCGCCGCCGCCGCCGCCTGTCTCCGGCAATTGGGCCGCTCGGGAGAGTACGGCGGCGGCGGCGGCCGGCCGGCTGAGGCGCGCGAGATGTTGGTGTCGAGAGACGCTCCCAGACAGGTCAGGGTCGGTCCGGGCGGGATCCTGGATCCAGAAGGAGCGGGCCGGATAGGCGACAGGTCAGCAGGGCTCCCCGCCCGCAGAAGACGGCTTAACTTGTGCTAGGCAGACTCGTGAGACGCGGCGGCCAGGGCGACTGTGCAGCTCAGATGGCTCACGGGGCTCGAGGTAACGCCAGGCCGAACGTGATGACAGACGTCCGAGGCTTGCGAGCGCGAGGATCACGTAAAAGAATGAGCCACAGAGTTGCCGGACCTCTCGTCACTTGGAAATGTACAGTCACCACCGCCTCATGAGCCACGATGACTATTCAGAAAGCAACGGGCCGACCTCTTGCATACGTAACAGGCCAACGGTAGGTGAGCCTTCAGGCATGTTTTTCTTTGCTTTCACTCGATCTGAATGTATACCTGCACTGTTAAACGCTTAGTCAAAGGCAGCGCCATTCTTTATAAAACACTGGGGAGAACAGGACAACAGCGGCCTATTACTGGTGACAAACGGTCTCTGTGCAGAGTGCAATTGCACAAGTCTTGGTTCTGAGTGCTTATAAAGAGCAATTGCAACCAGCCCGTCGTTGATAAAAGACCATCCACGAGATAATCACGCCGGCGAGCGAAGTTTCCATTTGGACCGGTCTTGTCAGCACCGGAATGACAGTAGGCGGCGGGGCGCCGGCCTCCGACTGGCCGCAGTCCGACGCCGAGGCAGCTCGGTCTGGCCCAGCTCTGCACGTGCACGGCCGCGGGCGCCGGGCCCGCCCGCAGTCACCGCGCGTGTCAACACCGGCCTTTCTCCGGCGCTTTTGAAACGTGGCCCTGACGCTGCCGGCCCGCTGGGGTGAGCCCCACATGAGACCAGAACCGGCCCAACACTGGGCTTAGATGGACTCCGCAGTGAGAAAGGGTGGATACAGTAGTGGCTTCGGAGCGAGCTGAAATCAGTCCCCGACAATGTACTGACGTAACGGACAGTTGGAGCCGGCTCAGCGGCGGCCTGAGACTCGCGTCGTTCAGCCCGAGAGCCCGCCATCAGATCGCCTGGGGCTGGGGCCGGCTCAACGGCAACACCAGGACGCTGCTGCGCGTGGCCCCGGGATTAGCTCCATGCTCAGCACCAGGGTGTCTTGACCGACCGGGTTTAACGTCAAAACAGCAGTGAATCGGAGGCAGCAGCTGTCAAACGGCGACGCCACACGCGGCTGACCAATCCCTGACCAAACACGCGGCTGACCAATCCCTCCTCGGCCGCCACTGGCTTCTCTCCCCTGCCCACGAAGCCAACCTGCTCGACCCGGTCCACCAACTCCTAACCGGCCACTTTGCTTAGACCGACCGCCTCGCGTTGATAACGCAGCTTGTTTTTTGGTGGTTAGCTTGACATGAGCTGCGCAAAGCGTACAGAGCATGTTTGGGACGATACTCTGCTGACCCTGCAGCTCCTGATCAGCACGTCACTGATTGTTTCGAAAAATATTGGTTCGGACATGGGTTTAATGACTTAAAACAAGCACTAGAGAGAAAATCGAATGTATGTGCATTTATATATATATATATATATATATATATATATATATATATATATATATATATATATGTGTGTGTGTGTGTGTGTGTGTGTATGTATATATGCATATATAACATAGGTAAACATAACAGAAAATACATAACAAAAATACAAAAAACAACACAAAAATAGGTGCACAGAAACATGACGTGGCGGGCCTACCTTGCGGGATGTGCATGATGGCGACGGTGATGCCAGCGATGAGGTCGCCCACCAGGTCACGCCGGAAGTTGTAGGCCGGCATCCAGGCCAGGATGGGTAGGTAGCGGGTCAGCGTGTTGGCCACACAGTCGCCGTTGGGCGAGCAGTTGTCCCGGAAGTGCTCGGCCACCAGTTCGGCGTTGGCTGTGGACGGTCGGCCCCTGGTCAGATGGGAGGGCGTCGAGCGCACCGGAGCCAGGTCAGTGACGGAGGCGTGCCAGACTGACGGTCATCAGTCACGCGTCCTCAGGTGCCACATGACCGGCGCTTGACGTGTTATGAGAGTTTAATTTGACAAGTTTGCGATGTGGTCAGAACAAATGCCTGCTGAGGTACAAAACATGCACGGGGGCCGGTCCAGACATTTTTTGAACGTAGATCAAGAGTGTTTGCTCCACTCCAGTGCAGAGCCAAGGGCCATCAAGGGCGAAGCGCTGGCCTCCGCGTCCATGTCTGAGGCACGCCGTGACCTCTGGGATGAGGCCATGCCCTGACTGGGCGCCGACCTCAGACACGCGGCAGACACGTCCCGGCCCCGGTCCCGGCAGACGCGGCAGACAAGTCGCGCTGGAGCCGTGGCGAGGAGCTATGACGGCCGGACCAGCACGTCTGGGCCCCCGACCATCGCCCCCTCGCCGGCGGCCGGACCAGCCCATCGCCCCCTCGCAGGCGGCCGGACCAGCCCACCTGGTCCCCGCCCACCGCCCCCGCGCCGGCGGCCGGACCAGCCCGCCCGGTCCCCGCCCCATCTCAGAACACGATCTCATTGACGGCAGGCTAAGGAAGAGTCTATCGGAACATCTGGCCAGAAGCTGCGATAGCGTTAGATGAATCCACCGACATAGCTGACGGCGGTTCGATCGTTTTGGAAATTCCGACAACACAGGCAAGAGGTCTGTTTACGGGGCGTTGTGCCCTTCGACATGACAATGCTGTGTTCTGTTTCCCTGACGCTGCCGCATAGGTATTCTTGCAATGTAATCTTCACCCCCTTTGGAGAAGATTATCAAATGTGTCATGCTGCCAGCATGACGTGTGTTTTGTGGCGTATGGAAGGTGGCTGGAATGGTTGTAGACACCCTGATGAACATGCAAATGATGACATGCATGTCAACAGTTTAGACATTGAGCACAATTCAAAAGAGGCAAGAAACTTTCTGTCCGAGGTCAAAAGCTCACGGGCCCGTTTGGCTTGGTTGTTTAAGATACCATTTTTGGCATTCATGCAGTCTTAGGTAGTCTTTTCATATGAAAGGTGTGCTCATCTTTCATCGTCCAGCATCATAATATACGCATTTAATTCATTTCAGCATTACTCCACCCAAGCAGGCGTTGGCGTTGGCCGTGTGTTGTCAACCCATCCATGGCCAAATGCTCTGCCTCCACGCCTTCCGACCTCGAGCGGAGGGGATCAGACACAGGCGGCTAACGGCCAGCTCTCCTGCCGACTCCCGCCCGCTGCAGCTAATTTATGTAAGAGTGTCAGCGGTGGTGGCGCCGGCGGGCCGCTGCAAGCCGGCCGTTCCTCCCCATCCGTCTGTCTGTGCTGACCGGAGCGCTGACCGCAGATGGCCGGCGCCGGAGGACAGCAGCAGCGCGGCGGCGCCGGAGGACAACAGCAGTGCGGCGCCGTCGGCGGACAGCAGCAGCGCGGCGGCGGCGGCGGACAACAGCAGTGCGGCGCCGTCGGCGGACAGCAGCAGCGCGGCGGCGCCGGCGGACAGCAGCAGCCCCACTAGCCGGCCTGCCCCCGGCCGGCTGGTCGCCGCCGGTCGCCGTACGCCCGGGATAGCGCCGGGCTGCCCGCTGGCCGGTACGTGACGCCCTGCGCCCGGCTGTCGTGGTGACGGGGACGGCGTGCGGGCTCCTCTGACGCAAACCCGCAGCCGCCCACCGCTCCGGAAGGAGCCAAGGATGCCGGCCGCTCTAAAGAGGCCTCCGGCCCCGCTGGCAGCCATGCGCCGCCCGTAAAGGTACCGGCCTGAGGCCCGCGAGCCGTCGGCCCTCGTCCGGCCTTGGCGCCTCTTCGACGAGGAAACGTAAAAACACAGGTCGGGAACACCCGCTCCGAGGCACGCTGAGGAGGAGCAAAAAGCGGCGGCGACGTGCCGGCCCCGCAGCGGCTATCGCTTGGAGAGTGTCGTGACCGGCCGGCCGGCCGAGCAGCCCCTCACCAGTCACGCGACCGGCCGGACGGAGAAGCTCTCAGCCCGGCCAGCCGGACAGAGCAGCTCTCAGTCCGGCCGGCCGGACAGAGCAGCTCTCAGCCCGGCCAGCCGGACAGAGCAGCTCTCAGTCCGGCCGGCCGGACGGAGCAGTTCTCAGTCCGGCCAGCCGGACAGAGCAGCTCTCAGTCCGGCCAGCCGGACAGAGCAGCTCTCAGCCCGGCCGGCCGGACGGAGCAGCCCTCAGTCCGGCCAGCCGGACAGAGCAGCTCTCAGCCCGGCCGGTCGGCGAGCAGAGCACATCCTGAGACGGCCGAGATACTGGGCGTCCGTGGCACCGGGCACGGGGTCTAGAGGGAAGGAGAGAAGGAGAGAGGGAGAGAAGCGGAGGCATGCCAGCGGGAGACGATTCTTTAGCAATATAGACGAGGTTCATCTGGAGGTGGCACTGTCAGCTTAGAGTGACCTAGCAGGAACGGATTCACCTCTCCTTGCCGGGTGGGAGGATAGAATACAGGGCTCTAAGTAAGTGATTCGTATAAACGCACTTATGTCAAGCGTGCACCGAACATATTGACTGGACCGGCAGTGGCGCTCGCCCTCGACCCACAGGCCGTCCAGATCAAACAGGAGGGTCTGCTATCCGTAAGCCTCTTCACTCCGCCTGATTTGCTTCAGCCCGGATCAGGACGAGTCTGAGTGAAGTGCCTGCGAGCTGTAAGCAGGTCCGGGATCCGCCTTCCTGGAGCGGCAGCCCGCGGCGGCGGCGGCAGCCTGCGGCGGCACCAACTGCACAGTACCGACACCGGCCGCCTAACTTGATTGTTCCGTTTCTCTCTGACTTCTAAGCCGGTGATCCCTGGCGGTGTCCGCAGATTACACGGCCGGATGACAGAGGGATGACGCCCGATACAGAGCTCAGCAAGGCGCTGAGTGAAGCCCGATACAGGGCCAGGCAGGGCGCCGAGTAAAGCCCGATACAAAGCTCAGCAGGGCGCTGAGTGAAGCCCGATACAGGGCCAGGCAGGGCGCCGAGTAAAGCCCGATACAAAGCTCAGCAGGGCGCTGAGTGAAGCCCGATACATAGCTCAGCAGGGCGCTGAGTGAAACCCGATACAGAGCTCAGCAAGGCGCCAAGTGAAGCCCGATACATAGCTCAGCAGGGCGCTGAGTGAAACCCGATACAGAGTCAGGCAGGGCGCCGAGTAAAGCCCGATACAAAGCTCAGCAGGACGCCGGGTGCTGCATCTGATAGAGCGGAGCCGACAGTGAAGTCGTGACCAGACACTGCGACCTGAGGCGAATCACAGATGCGCGCCAGCTCTGCGCTGCGCTCTGATGTCCTCTGCGATGCCGCCTCACGAAGAGACCTTTCTTCCACATGTGGTACGACTACGAATGAGGCTTGGCTAAAAAGCCGCACGCCGCAGACGAGGGGCGGCAGGATGTGGTGGATCGCTGGCTAGTGGTCCCATCTATAGATATTTATCCCGTATGATATAAGCTGACTCCATTCCAGCCCACCAGTGCGCTGAGCTGACTCCATTCCAGCCGACCAGTGCGCTGAGCCAGACACGCGTCACGGCCAGCAGCGATGGGTGCGCACACAGCCGCCTGCCGGCCAGCCCAGTCAGCACCCAGGCGCGCATGTACACGGCGGGTTGTCAGGCCCAGGGACCATGTGACCTGGCAGTGTGACCCGTGCCAGCGACGGCTGCGCGCTTTTCTGTGGGCCACTATTGGAGGCATGCCGTGTTAACTTTGCGGCTACAGACACGTGGCCGATGTCTCCCACGTCTGCCGAGAAGACGGCCCCAGCTGCCAGCGATACAATCAACACTATATGCTGAAGAAAGGAACATATGCTACCAAATGAATTCCATGAAGTCCCATTTCTTCAAGCAAGCTGGCCTTTCAGCCCATCAGCTCACCAACGCTGATCGGATAAGGAAAGATCTGTCTGAGCAGCGTGTTTAACGCATGCCTCTAGCGGTTTGATGCCCACAGTTGCAGCACGCCAGCAGTCAGCTGACTTGTGTGATCACTGACCGCTGATTACCGCAACTCAAATGCCGCGCAATCCTTATTCTGCCAATAAAACCACACAAACGCACAAGTTCTTGAAATTACACCTTTAACAGACCATGAGCGTCTGTTTTCATTTGTGCAGTCCATCCGCTCCCATCCACACAGTCCATGCGCCCCCACTCGCACAGACCATCCGTTCACATCCGCGCAGTCCACCCGTTCCTATCCGTGCAGTCCACGCGTTCCCGTCCACGCAGTCCATCCGTTCCCATCCGCGCAGTCCACCCGTTCCCATCCGCGCAGTGGTATTGCGTAGTAAGCCGATGTCTCCGCTGATGAACTGATTTGTTTACCATTTGCCAATCTCATGAGGGCGACACATTGTGGTTTAGAAAGCATTATGAGGAATCATCAAGTTCTCCACGACATTCTTCCAATCACCACATATTTTCGGATTTTTCTGTCCACCAGATTTTTTCTTCTGTTCTTAACAGCATCGTCAAGCCGTCTTGGTTAGGTACGAAGCTTTTAAAACACATCGCTCCATTGCTGATACAGACAGCTATGAAGGCATAGCTCTGCATGCAAGCAGTTATTTCGTGTTGCAGCGAGTCAAGCGCCAACTGCGCGCTCGTACAGCAATACACTTGGGAGGCCCGTTCGTCTAGAGCACCCAGAGAGTTGGACTGGCGCTAGCGTCCGACCGACTGCGCCTCACCAGCCATCGGCTGTCACGGTACCATGCCGACGCCGATCTCCGTGACGTGACATGACCCGTGACGTCAGCGCCCGCGCGTACGTGATCCCGCTGGGTGGGCGGCTGGCGCGCACCTATCCCGAGAGTATGAGTTACGCAACTGGCCGATCGATGGCGACGTGATGCCTGCAGAGCGAGGCGGAGAGCGCAACATAGCGAGGCGGAGAGCGCAACAGAGCGAGGCGGAGAGCGCAACATAGCGAGGCGGAGAGTGTAACAGAGCGAGGCGGAGAGCGCAACAGAGCGAGGCGGAGAGCGCAACATAGCGAGGCGGAGAGCGCAACAGAGCGAGGCGGAGAGTGCAACAGAGCGAGGCGGAGAGTGTAACAGAGCGAGGCGGAGAGCGCAACAGAGCGAGGCGGAGGGTGTAACAGAGCGAGGCGGACAGTGCAACAGAGCGAGGCGGAGAGTGCAACAGAGTGAGGCGGAGAGTGCAACAGAGCGAGGTGGAGAGCGCAACAGAGCGAGGCGGAGAGCGCAACAGAGTGAGGCGGAGAGGGCAACAGAGCGAGGTGGATAGCGCAACAGAGCGAGGTGGATAGCGCAACAGCCACGTTCAGCGATCCGTGCCGACCACCGCCGTGTTGCGTGGTGACCTGTGCATTATGATGACAAGCAAACAGAACGCGGATGTACAAGTGTCCGCAAATTAATTTTGAAATGTCTAAGCTGCCAATGTGGACGCATTTTACGCAGCAGTGGAAGACATTCAAACATCAGTGATCGGGTAGTCGTGCCATTACCTTGCAGTCTGTTTGCTGCCTGGGGCGCCCTGAGGTGTGTATCGCCGCCTGTACCATAGCTATCTGTCTGTATGGCGGGGCGCGGAAGCCACCGTCCATTAGCCGCTGGCGCCGATCGTAGCCCATCGGTCGACATGTTTACGTGCAGGCGGCCAGTGCATGCGGTGACGGCCAGTGCATGCGGCCAGCCCTTGACTGACATTGACCTTTGACCGGGCGCGCGCCTCGTGGCCAGGGCCGGAGGCATGCACAGACAGCGACAGATGGACTCCGCCCGCGGCCCACATGCCTTTCCGCTGCGAGGCTCGCGCGGGGTGGCCTGTCCGGCGCAGGTGCGACGCTGAGCGAAGGGTCGCACGTGTGCCCGGCCACAGGTACACGGTCGGGAGGCCTCGCCATGCCAGTTGTCGGCCCCGTCTGTCGGCTTTGTCGAGGCCCTCGGCAGTGTGCCCGGTGCCGTGCGCCCCGGCCGGCAGAGACCCGCTGCTGCCTGGCTGAATCCACCGTCACCCGTCCCTCAGCGTACGAACGTCGACAACTGCAGATGGTCTGCGACGTTTGGAACATAACGAACAACACAGATCTTACGTTCCGCAGATTACGGTTCACTCATAAAGGTAGGTGTGGTTATGATACGTTTTACTGCGTCTGTTGGAACAGAAGCGTAGCCAGGCTTTCGCTCCGGAGGGGCCAAATTGGATGAGACCAGATGCTTTCTCAGCCAAGGAGCCTTGGTTTTATTTGAGGGGCTTTTCGGACTCGTGGTCTCAGCACCCAAAGTTCTGTTTTACAAATACCACGGCCGTCTTAAACTGCCAACAAGTACCGGCCATGGCTGCGCTGTGCCTTGGGAATATCGCCGCCGGGGGCCTCCAGTTTACTAACTTATATACGCTACTCGCCCGCAGTGTGGAAGATTTGGACGCCGGGTAAATGTACTGGCTGGTGAGATGTTGGAGCAGTTCCTTGGGTTGGGGATGTTTGTAAGACTTTTGCTAGTAATGGTCGCGACGCGAGAGAACACGCAGCGTTTCCCGCCGTCGGCTCCCAGACGGCCTCCCTGTTCATCGCCGCTCCACACCCCGTGCGCCGCGCGCGAGTCGTGCCCGCCACCCCCCCCCCCCTGGCGGTCAGCCGCCACCGCTGTACTCACTTTTAGGCTTTGGCTCCGTGTAGTCGTACTCCTGCTGGAACTGTGCCTGTGTGAAGGCTCGGCGCGCCACGACGACACGCACCTCGCGCTCGGCCGGCGGGCAGCTCGCCTCGGCCTCCGCCATCTTCTGCTTCCTGCGCAGCGCGGCGGGGTTGGCAGCCATCTGCGGCGGCGGGTGGGCGCGTTAGCCGCCGGCCGGAGCTCGCCCCCCTCCGGCAAATGTCAGCAGTGACGGCCGCCACGCGCTGCGCCGCCGCCTCCGGGCCGGCGCCGGCCGGGCCCACCGACCGGCCCCACAAAGGGTCACAGGGGGACCGCTGAGTGACGGCGGGCGCCGCCAGCCCGGCACCGCGCGCCCGGCCAACCGGATGTGAGCCACTAATGAAGACACGGGGACGACACAGCGTGAAAGGAGAAGGGGAGACGATGTCGGCCGTGTACCCCGCTCATGGGTCTACGCAAATCGACATGAGTAATTTCGCTATTTATCCACCGGATTATTGGAATGACAATAATGGCATGGATTATTACACAGTCACACGAGGGCATGATTCATAGAAAATACATCCTTTGAGGGCTGTCAAATTAAATAAATCTGTCACACTATTGGCATCCTGCTTCAAAAACGCACAAACGCCAGAAAACTGGTAGCCTGCAATCAAGACTACCGCAGCTGAGACCGACACGGACGCGGAGTGAGACAGCGCCGACATGAAGCTAACTAGATAGTCGCATATGGGTGAATCATTCACATGCAGCGGTAGTTATAAACCACCATGAAACGCTCCTCCACAAGGGGTGGCAGATGAAGCTCGGGCAGAACTGTCTACAAGAGATGTAATGACGGGGTCACAGTGTTTGACAGAGCGATGAATACGGCGGCGGAGAGCAGCTCGTTCCCGCCGTGTCGGGGCTGTTACTCTTGCCGCCTGTCAGCGACGTCTTGACCGACAAAGACCCCGACAAAAAAGCACACAATTATCCGTCATGCACACAGGTCATACAGCAGCTGAGTATCTGGGGGCGGTGTGGCGTAATGAGCCGGAGCGTTCCTCTCCGTGACCGAACCGGTCATTTGCATGAAGAGGGCGGATATGTGGCGTGCGGACGCTCCTTTCAAATAAGTTGGAGCCCACTGTTAATGCTCCCAAATGTGCCGCCGGCTTCTCATTTTCATGCAGGTCAGCTGCGCTCACTCCGCGACCTAAGCTACTTTTAGCTGGCGGTGGGAGACAGCTGAATTTACGTCTGTCGGAGTTCACCCATCCCGCATGCAGGCGAGCTACTTCCTGAACCTCTCCAGCCAAACAGATGACAATTGGAAAGTCCACGACCTGTCTGAATGACAGATTCAGTGTCAGAATTTACGAGTTTCCTTCCCTCACAATCGGTGTTTGAAAGGTTTGATGCACAGATTTTCATATTTAATTGTTTTCCTTTCCTCTGTCGGCAAGTGCATCGGGCCGGCGATTCACCCAGCTCTTCCGGTTCTGACGACATCAAAAATACTGAAATCATTTTGCGTTCATGCGTAACGACCCGTGCTGTGTCCGTCCCGCCAATGACGCCGCAGATCGCCCACAACGTTTCGGCACGGTTGATGTGACAATTGGCGGGGGGTGGGACAGGTGCGTGACGTGTGCCACGGCCCGCTGCCGGAGCGGGGTCCTGGTCGCTGCGGCGCGGCAGCAGTACACACAGTGCGCTGTGCAAACAGATCTTCCACGTCGATCATCCGGTGCCTCTGCAGCCTCGCACGTGTGCAAGGACGACACTGGAGCCTGGTGCACAACAACGACTTCTACCGCTTTAGCCGCAGAGAGTGCTTCAACGTCACCAACTAGGTTCCATAAAAACTTGGATCGCAAGAATCCAAACTCTGCTGCGATTAACCCCCCGCTCGGGGTATCTATATATACCGACGCATTGATACCAAGCAGAAACATGCGCCGGTTTGCTCAGCTGACGCCGTCAGGCCCTTCATGAACATAAAGAGCCGGCTCGCACAGTGTTTCAGCTGATGCCGAGTCGCAGTTGATCGGCACCCGCACACCTGGGCGGCGGCGGTGCAGCCGAGCTCCGTGCAGCCGAGCTTCCTTTCCGTACAGCCGGCAGCGGCGAGCGGCTGGCCGTCGGCGGCGCTCACGCCCGCAGCTCGAGTCAAGGTGCAGAGCTGCCAGAGCACACCTCCATGGCAGGCCGTATGACGCCATGCTTGGTTACGAAAATGGGGCCCACCCATTGAACAGCAAAGAAAAGCGCTTAAGAAACTGCTGATTTGCTGCCTATCTGTTAGAAAGACAAGACAGCGCAGCTAATTTGGCTGCGGACTCTTTACTTACTCTTTTGTGTAAATCTTTCCGAAATGCTAATCGTCAGTCAGTGAAGTATTTATGGAGCACTTGTTGACTTCAGCTAGGAAAAATTTTAAACGCATACTTATGGAAAAGCCCGGACGGACATGCTCTAACTCCGACAATCAAAATTTTGCTCAAAGCGAATAGAAATTTCGCTTCACGGAAAGGATGTCAGGAGATTAGCACACCTGAGAGAAGGCAAGGGAAAAGGAATACCTAACCCCAGCCTTTCAGAAAATACACAGACCTTTGAAAATGCCAAAAATACAAATACCAGAACAACGAATATATTTCCAATATTACATACTAGGCTTGAATGCGATTCAGGGGTTCGGAAAGTCCTAACGCCAGTACAAGTCTTAAATATATCTCGAATATATCCAGGTTGGCTTCGTAATGAAGACTTTTCCGTGATCTGTAACACCTGCCACTTCAGATACCTTGGAACGGCAGAAAGAACGTCTGAATGACAAGAGGCTCCCAGCAGAAGCGCATTCTTCTCGGACTAACTCTCGGGCGCTCTAAAAATACGCGTGCACGTAGTACAAACGGTGCTTCTTCCGGTTTACCACCCGAAGCAGCCAATACCACCCCACCGTCTTCAGATCATGGGTATCTCACTAACTAGTGTGAACAGCTCGATATCGCATGGCATTCGGCAAACGCGGCATCTGCCAGAGACCATCGATGCTTCAGTGTGGTAGGTGTGTCTCATCCAGGAGGCTGACACGGACCATGTGATAACACGAGGTCAGTGCATAATGGCCAGCTGGACAGACACCGGCCAGCATCGGGCAGCGGTCAGCAGACGTCGCCGTCGCTGCCGTCGAGTCACGGTCGGTCGGGTCAGCACGCTCTCACCTCGACTCTGCGGGCGGCGCGAGCGAACGACCAGCGCTGCACGGCACTCTGCTACAGCTGCGGACGGCGCCCGGGAGGCGCGGGCGAGGAGTCGGCTGAGCGGGGTCCTCGTCCGCCTACGGCCCTGGTGCGGCTCTGCAGCGCTGCGGGCGGCCAGGCCGACCTCACCACGTCCAGGACCGGTCTGGCGGCGGCCGGCGCCGGCGCCGCTCTATCGCCGGCCGGCCGGCGCGCCCCCGGGCCGGCCAGCCTCCGCCCGTCGGCCGGCCGGCGCCACCGGCCGGCGCCAGCCCGCAGAACGGCGCCGCGCCACCGGCCATCGGGACAACCGCGGCGGGACAACACCGACGCGACAGCGCCATCGGAACGGCCCTCACTAACCGAACGCCGCCATCGGGATGGCCTGCTGCCGGGCAGTAGTGTCCGGACGGCCCTCACTGCAGGACAGCACCACCTGCAAAGGCTCTCTGCATAAAGCGGTACTACCGAGGCAGCCATTACCACCAAGCAATGCCAGCCATTACCATTAAGGTCGAGTGGATGGGCGCTTTAAGTCTACAGCACTTGCTCAGCAGGGCTTGTTGCGTATACACTGGCATTAGCTGTTGCTGCTGCGTATACCATGTTTACCCCAGCTCCAGTTCGCCGGATAATGCCGAAGCCGGCCATCTCGCCGGACAGAACAGCCGGTGCATACGTGCGAAGTAGTGCTGCAACATGACCGTGCTCAGTCATGCCGAGCCTCTTTGGTGACCAGCCATCTCTCCATGTCGGTGAGGTCAGGCAGCCATGCTGAGCCTCTTTGATGCTAAGTGTCTTTGATGGCCAGCCACCTCTCCATGTCGGTGAGGTCAGATGAGGCTTCAGTTCTAACGTTCGCAATCAGTCCCGTTTAACTATGAATCTGTCTCCACTGAGATGGTCCTCAGAACCGGTCAGTGCCACTGGGAAAGTCCTCCCAGCCGACAGGACCACCTGGACGGCCCTCACCACGGGACAGGACGGCCCTTGGTACAAGACAGGACGGCCGTCATCGGTACGGGACGGGACGGCCCTCGGTCCAGGACAGTACGACCCTCGGTGCAGGACAGGACGGCCCCGGTACAGGACAGGACGGCCCTCGGTACAGGACAGGACGGCCCCGGTACAGGACAGGACGGCCCTCGGTGCAGGGCAGGACGGCCCTCGGTGCAGGACAGGACGGCCCTCGGTCCAGGACAGGACCGGCCCTCGGTACAGGACAGGACGGCCCTCGGTGCAGGACAGGACGGCCCTCGGTTACAGGGACAGGACGGCCCTCGGTAGGACAGGACGGCCATCGGTGCAGGACAGGCCGGCCCTCGGTACAGGACAGGACGGCCCTCGGTGCAGGACAGGACGGCCCTCGGTGCAGGACAGGACGGCCCTCGGTACAGGACAGGACGGCCCTCGGTAGGTACAGGACAGGACGGCCCTCGGTAAGGACAGGACGGGCCCTCGGTGCAGGGACAGGACGGCCTCGGTACAGGACAGGACGGCCCTCGGTGCATGACAGGACGGCCCTCGGTACAGGACAGGACGGCCCTCGGTACAGGACAGGACGGCCCTCGGTTACAGGACAGGACGGCCCTCGGTACAGGACAGGACGGCCTCGGTACAGGACAGGACGGCCACTCGGCGTACTAGACAGGACGGCCCTCGGTACAGGACAGGACGGCCCTCGGTACAGGCACGGGACGGCCCTCGGTACAGGACAGGACGGCCCTCGGTACAGGGCAGGACGGCCCCCGGTACAGGATAGCATCGCTGGGACGACCATTGCCACCGAACAGCACCACCGGGAAAGTTTTCGCTACCGGACACGACCGACGGACGCCCTTCGCCGCCGGCCATTGAACTGGAAAATCGCAGGCGTCGCCATTCTGACTTAAGCCTTTCGTAATGAAATGAGTGCACGTAAAGAATACCCAGGGTCGCGGATGTACCACCTAATACCTCCCAAAACCGGCAACACTCAATTTCCTAGTTGTCCTGCTCCGTGCTCCGTGGCTAGAATGGATTTCTTTTGGTACACAGACAATATGTGACAATGCTTCATGAGGGACAGTGCACCAGACCCGGATATCGTTCATTCGTATTGAACAGCAGAACTAAGCGCCTTGTGTGGTTTGGGCGAAGCTTGCACGTAGCTGTTTAGCGGGCGGGTCGCCTTGTGACAACTGAACGCCTCAACGTTCAGTGCCTTAACTTTCGAGACACGTCGCGCCGTCCGTGCCCGTCCTCCTGATCCCAGAGCTCGGGTGAGCCCGTCCTCCTGATTCCATGACTCAGGCGAGCCCGTCCCGGTCCTATGACTCAGGCGAGCCCATCCCCCTGCTATAATGACTCAGGCAACCCTGCCCTCCTGATCCAATGACTCAGACGAGCCCGTTTTGATCCTACGACTCAGACGAGTCCGTCCTCTTGATCCCAAGACTCAGACGAGTCCGTCTTCCTGATCCCATGACTCAGGCGAGTCCCTCTTCTTGATCCCAAGACTCAGACGAGCACGCCCTTCTGATCCCATGACTCAGGCGAGTCTCCCCCTTATTCATCCTCTCTTCACTCGTCTCGGGACGACCAGCGGGTGTCGGGTGAGATGAACGTTCTGCATCGTCCTGTTCGGCTTCACGCGTTTGTCTCGTAGGCGGAGAAGGTGTGAAGGCACCATTGGTGGAAATTCTTCGAAATGAATGGAGAGACTGTATCAGGATCATACTTGGATCGATTATTTTCATACAACGCCGAAAGATCAAAGCTGAAGCTGGGACCTAAAGAGGTGTCATACGCCTTCTAAATGCATCGAAAGCCCATCCGTGGATGTCGCACACGTGCGGACAGATAGCGACGCGAGCCGGCAGATCACGCACGTGCGAACAGATAACGACGTGAACAGGCAGATCACGTACGTGCGGACCGGTAACGACGCGAACCGGCAGATCACACATGTGCGGACAGATAACTACGCGAACCGGCAGATCACACATGTGCGGATAGATAACGACGCAAACCGGCAGATCACGCACGTGCGGACAGATAACTACGCGAACCGGCAGATCACACATGTGCGGATAGATAACTACGCGAACCGGCAGATCACGCACGTGCGGACAGATAACGACGCGAACCGGCAGATCACGCACGTGCGGACGATAACTACGCGAACCGGCAGATCACACACGTGCGGACAGATAACGACGCAAACCGGCAGATCACGCACGTGCGTACAGATAACTACGCAAACCGGCAGATCACACACGTGCGGACAGATAACGACGCGAACCGGCAGTTCACGCACGTGCGGACGATAACTACGCGAACCGGCAGATCACACACGTGCGCACAGAAAGCGACGCGAACTGGCAGATCACACGCCGCGAGCATTTCGCTGGCATATCACACGCCGCGAGTGTTTCACGGCCATCGTCGGAAGTGGAATTACGGACTAGCAAGAGCGGGGCTGTCACTGCGGCAACTAGAGCAGACTGGCTGGAAAGCGCCCGGCAGAGGTAGCAGAGGCACCACGCCCTCTGCACTTTGATGGGCACCTTACTGACCAGGTGCATGGTCGTGGTTGTTATAACCCACAATTTGATGGGCACCTTATTGAACAGGTGCATGATCGTGGTTGTTATAACCCACACTTTGATGGGCACCTTACTGAACAGGTGCATGATCGTGGTTGTTATAACCCACACTTTGATGGGCACCTTATTGAACAGGTGCATGATCGTGGTTGTTATAACCCACGCTTTGATGGGCACCTTACTGAACAGGTGCATGATCGTGGTTGTTACAACCCACACCTTGATGGGCACCTTACTGAACAGGTGCATGATCGTGGTTGTTTTACCCCACACTTTGATGGGCACCTTATTGAACAGGTGCATGATCGTGGTTGTTATAACCCACACTTTGATGGGCACCTTATTGAACAGGTGCATGATCGTGGTTGTTATAACCCATTGTGCACCTATTGCCCAGTGACAGGGTTTCTGCAAGCTATCCAAACATCTTTGCAAATAATGACGCCTCAATGATTGGCTCATCAAATATGGTTCTCCACCATCCACCAAATAGAAAAATCATTGCATTATTCATCTAGGGGCTGCACTCTTATGTCGCGTTTGTTGAGAGTTGCGTATCTGCTGTAACTTTGTTGACGGTCTATATTTGGTGCGGTTTTCTTGCGATCATCGACAGACACCTGACAACAGAACATCTGCAGGCCGACTGATTGTTTGAAGGAGTGGCCTTATGGTGAGACCACGCCTTAATCCACCTTCAAAGTACCGCCAAACTTCAGCGGATGAAGTCCTATAGCAGGCTACGTATTTTCCGCGGCGATTTCTCGGCATTATGACCGCATTGCCCACGGTAGTGGACTGATGATGCAGAACCTCTCAACGATTGCTGCGCAGGCACTACAGCAACAAAGACGTGACACACAACTGCAGAAGAGCCCGACCTGTACTGGATTTCCCAGCCAAGTCACGACCTTCACACATGCCTGGAGCGGCGCTGCAAACCACCGCTTGGGCCGTCCATGCTGCGATTCCCGGGCGGCCCAGCTGGACGCGTTGTTGTAGACCAGGCTGTTCGGCCGGTCCCTGACATGTCCACTGTGCAGGCGCGTGGTAGCCTTCTGGGTCACGTCTGCCACGCTGTTCTTCGACCGAACAATAACAGTGCCGTTCTATGCCGCACAGCAAACGTCCGGGCCGCTCACACAGCCCCGGCGGGACCCACAGAAGCAGGGCGGTCATGTGCGGTCAGCTCCCGTTCAGCCGCGGCGGGACCCACAGAAGCAGGGCGGTCATGTGCGGTCAGCTCCCGTTCAGCCGCGGCGGGACCCACAGAAGCAGGGCGGTCATGTGCGGTCGGCTCCCGTTCAGCCGCGGCGGGACCCACAGAAGCAGGGCGGTCATGTGCGGTCAGCTCCCGTTCAGCCGCGGCAGGACCCACAGAAGCAGGGCGGTCATGTGCGGTCAGCTCTCGTGTCACGATGGAACACACCGCAGCCGGCCATTTACCTCGTCACAGCGTGATGGTCGCCGGCTGTCCCATCAGCCACCGGGTCATGATCGAGCACAGCAGAGCTGTCCCATCAGCCACCGGGTTGTGATCGAGCACAGCAGAACTGTCCCGTCAGCTGGCA